TTAAAGTCGCTATGATACCATGGTCTGCACTTGGTATCTGTCCGGTAATGTTCAGGTTTGCTGGTTTAGAGGGTACTGCAAGATTCAAAATTTGGTGAAAATTAAAATCAACCTATCAATCTACCCTTGCAAAAAAATGTATAATTMCATCACTGATAATGACGAGATTGGGACCATTTTTTATCGGGRGGGTAAGGGAGGCTGGTGGTTTTAAACCTTTTTAGGGGGGGCATGCAAAATTATTATCCAATATTACTTGTATATTAAATACAACATATTTCTTAAGAATCAAGAGAGTGTGGGTTCGTGTCAATAAGACATGCTCAAGGGAGTGGGTGATTTGAAAAAATTATATCCAACTTCGAGGGGCCATTGTTTTTTTTTGTTTGTTTGTTTTGTCGAAGTCCCCCCCTCCCGATAAAAAATGAACGGTCCCTAATATTACACCTGAATAAAGTGCTTGTTTATACGTTTATGTTTAAGTCACATAACACGATGTAAGCCATTTTCATCAAACTAAGCGGTATTTTTCATTGGTTTTTCTCTAAGGTGAAAGTTCCTATTCATTACAAATCTACAAAAAAGTGACTTTTTTTCTCCTCGAACGKTAGTTCCTATGCAAAACTACTGTCATTCCACTTGAACCGGCAAAGACGGTATCCCCAAAGAAAAGGTCGCAGAATATTTGCTTTACAAGCTAACTGTATTTAAAATCAATATTAGCCAAACAGGTGGATACCTTCTTAGACAAATAAACTAAAATTCGTTTATTAGATCTGCCAGAAAATATCGACAGAATGAAAAAATACAAGAAAATTCCACAGCTTTCCGTTCCTCGCTCATTATAGCTTTGAAACATGTCAAGGTTAAACTTCGAGGTTATCATATTCTGAATCTCCAGGTGACATGATATCGCTAACTATCTCTATCTTATCACTGATAACAAGATGTGAAGAGATAATCAGAGAAACAAGGACGATTGATACCTTATTAATATGCCCGATCATTTTGCCGACAAAAAAATCTGTCGATTAGTAATGAAGGAAGTCACACGTCACACTTAAACAGTGCTTGGGGTTTGGGGGAGGGAGGGGTATACTAGTACAGAAGTGCTGATTCATAAGCTAAGTGCAAGGTCAGGGCATCTTTTGATGAATACGGCGTGAGTCAAGCTGTGGACAAATGTTACACGCGACTTACTGGCGACAAATATGAAAGAAGGGCGTTTGATTGGACTATTTTATTACACTATCAAATATTTCAAGTTGACATCCGCCTATTTCAGCGAAAAATCGGATATCGCATTCTACGTCACACCGTGTGCCCCACCCCGTTTAAAAAACCGAAATTAGTCTAACAGCCGGTTAAATCGTATCCGGCATGCAACATTGGACTTTGTTTCATCCTTCAACTTTCACAGTGCTTTTCGAAGTGCTTTTCTTGTTTTTGAATTTGAACTAAATATTGTTACAGAAAAAGTCGTTTTCTGACCGACATGTTTGGCTCTCAATCATTAACAAATGCTTTAATATCAAAACGTTAAGCTCTAGAATTGCATTAGCATATGTAACACATCAATAATATGGCTATTTCATTATTGTCAGTATTGCCATGATTAATAAGCCATTTCCGATGAGAGATCATCGCAAGATTGTTAGTCTCCTTGGAGTCCTTTGGACAGTAAACCCAAAGTAATCATATTCATTTATTATCTGCTTCATTAATCAAAATCGTAAACTACTTAGCGCCAACTAGTTAAGATTATCAGGTCTTGAAAACTGATAGATGGGCTAATTACAACGGAATGCCTTTAAAAACGAATCAAATCCTTTTATCTGGACTTACAGGTTCAACAGGCTCGAGGACCAGGGCACAGATGTGGTTCAAAGAAGAACAAGCTAAAACTGACACACATATCTGTCTTGGTAACAATTTGTGAATAATCATTTCAGAAATGAGTTGAACAGACCGGTTTGTCTCTCTTTTCATTCCCTAATTA